ACTGAGAGAGTTTTATTCATAATTAAAGTGAATCCACTGGTATTTTTCGATCCATACATGTGGTTGTTCCACCACTGTCGAGTTCTGGGTGTGACTGTAGCTCTCCGTCGTCAAAACTGAGACTACTGCCACACTGAGAATGTGTACTGAGTTCTTGGCAGTAGGTCAGTCACATTGGCCTCTCCTTCACTGCTTGTCAAATTTTCTTTTCTCCACCTCTCCTCCCACCTCTTTTACCCTGACAACATGACTAGAGAGAGGAGGGTTTTGCCCAAACCAGTATCTGGGGTTGAACCACTGCAGATATCTCCATGTTGCTCCAATCTCTTGGATTGATAGATCTACTGGTGCTACTTTGGGGAGAAAGAAAAGTTTAGTGAAGAGAAGTCAGATTATACAAGACTCACCAATGACAACCTGTCTATGTCCTCGCCACAGGTGGCCAACAAAATTAGCCCATCATAGACCTGAGCTGAAGAGTTCCAGAGCCATGTCATTTGTGTTATACTGTTTCAAGTTAGACTGTGACCACCTCTCCGGAACTAACAAGAGATATCCTGCCACCTGCGTACTACCCTACACGTAGGAAAGAGTGTAAGACTCGAAAACAACTGTTTCCTCATGTTTTTTCCTACGTCAGCTCTTTTGTGAATTAAAACCAGTTTGCCTTGGAGCTTAGAAAGGGTTTTACGAGATAAACAATCTGGGAAGAGTAAAGAGAAAAGGTATGGCATCTCCTTTTGTGTCAACAGCCGCCCCACCTTCCTGTGTTGTCAGTCCGTAGAGGTGGGAGAGGTTTTCCAGAGAGCAGTACCAGCAGACTCAGAGTGATAGACATGACTGACTCGGTCCCCTCTATGCCACTGTCTCTGACCCTGGACCTGAAAAGTCTTGCGCCTGCTGTTTGTGTGAGCACATGTTATTCCACCTGACGAAATTCAGAGAAGCCTTCATATTGTAAAGTCACAACAAAAATACTCACTGATCTCTCTTTTTTGCTCTTTCATTTGTGTAGTCATGCACTGCTGTACCACAGCACTTGCTTGCAGCAACCACATTTTTTGCACCACTGTCTGCGTTAACCTCCCTACTCCATCTTGTTGGACACACTACTACTACAGTCACACCTCTAGAGGTGCTAGTACAGGGAAGAGTAGTACTCACTGTCAGATATTAATATAATCGCTCACAGAGGACAGTGAGAGTGAGAGAGGCTGTGGCATTGCCGAGCAGAGGGCCCCATTCCGCTGGAGTTGGTGCTGAGAGTGACGTAGTGCGAGTCAGAGGGCTGGACTGACCAATGAAGATGGAGGAGTAGTTGAAGACTCTGGTGGACGAGCACCCACCACCTCCTCCCCCGTCCTTGTGTCACTAGCTTGAGAGGGAGGGGAAGGCCAGGGGACTGCTGTGCTCTGCATGTCATACTCAGCTCCTCCTTCTCTCTCTTTCCTGACGTCTCCTCCGTCAGTCAGGACTGGGGGTCTGTGTTACAGAAGATGTTCACTTATGTGCGCATTTCAGAGGCAGAGTGTAGTATACAGTAGCACTATGTGTGTATGAGAGGTCGAGCGGGGTATATTCTCCTTCTCTCCATGACTGCACTCTCGTCATCCGCAGATGAAACATGGCTTCCCACCATAATACTCACAGTATAGTATCCTGATGCGTGAAGTGGCCAGTGGTTCCTCAAATCCACAGATATGATGTAGTCATCCAATCCTCAGTCAGTGGTACATAGTGAGGATAGTGGTGTCTGGTAGCCCCAGATACTCTAGAGTCCCTTGAGATGATAATAGGAATATTGCTGTCCACTACACTTGTAATGGGTCTGGCGTCCTCGACCTCTCTCTCTGTCTAAGACGTTTGTTTGACCAGCTAAGTGCTCTTACATTTTTTCTAAGACCACCTTTCCAATTGACTTGACAAACTCAAGGTGATATTCTCTGTCCCGGGAAGTACCCATGGACCCAGGCACTGGATCCGTGGTGATCGTGAACTGACACTCTCCTGCATTGCGTAGATACATGAGTTAAGAGAATTGCATGGTCTATTACCTGACCACCTTACTGTTTGCAAGCAAGAGATCAGTAGCTAAAACGATATGGCCACACAACGCCACATCTCTTACCAGCTTGTCCTAGCTATTACACTGCAGCAAATAAGCTGATGCTTCCGGAAAATGCGAGCCTAAAGGTGCGCATGCGCAATTGCACGCATCTTTCTCGAACTTGCTTGCGCCTACGCGTCGGATATTTCACATGTGTTGTCTTGTTCTAGCGTGATGATACTAACATTCTGCGGACTGCAACCAGGTCAGACAGTAAGAGATGATAAGGAGTGCTGATTATTCTATTCTGTTATAAGCTATCACCAGAGTCCAATTAGCTATTTCATCTTTATGCAGAGTGTCAATTCTCCGTCACCACGAATCCAGTGCCTGGTGTCAATGGGTATTCCCTGGGACACAGACACATCACCTTGTTTGTCAAGTCGATGAAGTGGTAGTCGAAGAGCCACAAGCTGTGTCAAAACGACTGCAGTAAGTAGGTAAGACAACAGGAAGCCGAGGTCTGTAGTCTATTGACTTCGACAATTCCAAGCAGTGTGGCGAAAAACCATTAAGTCGGGGAGTCGACGACGCGAACAATAAATCGTGTACTTTGAGTCGTCGTACAAGCCCGAAACGATATAATTAACCGGGTCAATGTTATGCAGACGCGCCAGCTAGGTTCCAGTAGCCCTCAAACTACTCTCGATAAATCACATGAACTGAGGAGACATCTAAGATGATGAGCTAGCTAACTCATCATATCTGGGTTTGAAGGAACCACTGGCCACTTACCATCAGGATAAACTGTAAGTTAGTAGCAGGGAACTGTTCGTCATGAACACCATGTTGCCTTCGTAGTATCAGTGGTGTGGAATGAGAGTAAGTATTGGTTAGTGGGTCTCAATATTTTATCGGGCCCGGATGATATTTTAGGGCATCCATCTTTGTGTCTTACTATAGACTGTAAGGTATATTCTTTTCTTCTAGACCTTCCCACCCTTACCAGTTTAATATGTACACACAGCAAAATGGGAGTTGTGGAGAGTGTTGGTGTATCTTTCCCACTATACCCCCAGTCCTGACTGGCCAGAGGAGAAGTCAGGAGAGAGTGAATGAGGAGCTGTAGTATGGACATGGCAGAGCCGGCAGTCTCTGCTTCCCCTTCCCTCTCGCAAGTCTCGTGGGCAAGTATGGTGAGGAGTGTGGCGGTGGCTCGTCCACCAGAGTCTTCACTACTCTCCATCTCATTGGCTCAGTCCCATGCCCTCTGACTCGGGCTCTACGTCCTCTCAGCACCACCTACCAGCTGATCGGTGGCGCCCTTCTCGGCAGTGCCACTGCCTCTCTCACTCTCAATGTCCTCTGTGAGCATTTTAGATCTATCATCTAAAACGTGTGAATGTTGGGCAAGATTTCAGGTCCAGGGTCATGGACAGTGGGTGTGAGGGAGGGCCAGCCACTCTGGTCTGTGGTACGGTCTCTCTGGAAACCCTCTCCCCACCCTCACTGGACTGACAACACTGGAAGGTGGAGGTGGGTGTTGATGAAAGACGACGCTATACTTTTATTTCCTTGTTTATGTAATCTTTTCTGTGTCCCATTGCAAACTTATTCACCAAAGAAGCTGAAGTTAGAAACTGAGTTTGTTTTCAAGCTCTTATAGTCCTTTCATATTTGTGAGTGCTGCTGTCAGGGTGGTAGGAAATCTCTTAGCACTGGTAGAGAGAGTCAGTCTAACATTGGCAGTACTAGACGTATGACACTGGCTACTGGAACTGCTCACTCAGGTCTACGATGGTGCTAATGTTGTTGGCCAGCCTGTGGGGGAGACATACGACTGGTGGTAGTTGGTGAGTCAACATGTCTAGCTAGTTTCTGCCTCCTTTCCTTCTTCTCTCCCATTCAACAGCCCCACCAGTAGCACCAGTAGATCTATCAATCAAAGAGATTGGAGCCACATGGATGTATCTGCAGTGGTTCAACCCCAGTGCTGGTTTGGGCAACCCTCCTCTCTCTAGTCATGTTGTCAGGGTACAAGAGGTGGGAGGAGAGGTGGAGGAAAGAACATTTGACAGCAGTGAAGGAGAGGCCAATGTGACTGACCTACTGCCAGGGACTCAGTACATATTCTCAGCAGTGGCTGTGTCTCAGTTTGAAGACCTGCGAGCTACCAGTCCACCCAGCAACTCTGACAGTGGAACAACTACTCTCACTGGTAGGGACCAACATAATATTCCAAGCTGATTCTCTCTCTCCCCACAGTCCCAGCTCCAGTGTGCAGTGATGTTCCTGAGGTGGAGGACACACGACTGGCAGTGAGATGGACCTACAGACACATGGGAGGAGCTCCCATCACCTCAGTCGATGTCTACTTCACCACCACAACTGACTCCACCAGAGTCTCATTCTCAGATGACCCCCAGGCAGTGCTAGGGGAGGTGGGGGCCAGAGAAAGAGAGGACACCATTCCTCTTCCTGAGGCTGGCTTCACCTACCTGTTCTCAGTGACAGCTACCAACAGCCAGGGAACCAGTGCTGTGGACTGCCCCCCTCTTACTCTTGACATTGGTGGGTCTCCCTCTCTCTCTCTTATCTTCCTTGGAATGTGAAAGTTTGAAGCCCACCCCTCTGTCTCCCAGGTATCCCAGCCAGACCAGATCCTCCAGTGGTGGAGTCAGTAGCTGGAGGTTCCGTGGACGTGAGACTCAGCACACTTCACTCTGGTGTCAGAGACAGCTCCACTGACCAGTTCCAGTTTATCCTCCTGGTGAGCTTCCTTTTACCTCTCACTCTCTCCTGTCTACAGCTGTTCCCTCCTTCCCCCTCCCTCCTCTCTCCCTCCCTTCTCCCCTCTTACCTCTATCTCTATATGCATGCCTACACATGCAAACGTGGCTGCAAAAGTGTGTATTCATTGCCTGTATTGGCAGAACCAAAAGCCATGAATAGCTCTAATCACTGTGTGTTTTACGATCAGATCAGGGACGTGAGTGACATGGGAGGGACTCCCATTGAGGTGGTGGTGAGTCAAGGATCATGTGGAGGAGTGTGCAGAGGGTCTGTGAGTCTGGCCAGTGGAGAGAGAGGACTGGAGGAGGGAACCACATACATTGTCAGTGTCTCAGCCTCCAACAGATACGGACAGTCCTCTGAGTCTGGAAACTCTGATCCCCTTCACTTTGGTCTTTACTAATTCAGGTATATACATTACTGCCAAGTTTATCTAAACGTGAATGTTCTTTTTATCTACCATAGATTGCTCTTCAAACTCCCTATTCACGGAAGGTTTGCTGTCTGTAATAATTATGTTTGTGAATACCACAATAACACTACAGGAATAGGAGTTGGATTTGCTGTGGGTGCCATGACTACAGCTATAGTGTTTGCAATAGTCTTCATTGCCATTTGTTTCGTTTTCAAGTTAAGGAAATGTAAGTAGTGCCCCATATTCTTCTTCAAGTGATTAATTCATATCTGTAGCTACTGGAGACAGGGAAGTACCAATGGAAGCAAACCTGGCATATGGGCTATACACCAGACCTCACAATACCTCTTCCAGTGAGGGACAAACAGTTGTCTACGAGGAAGTTGCAAATATTTGAACACTATTATCCTGAGTTTCTGTTTTTAAGCTTTTGTATTGTACACTGACCCTCATATGTCGGATACCTTGTCATGTATAAGCAGTTATATTAGTAGTGCCAGTGCAGAACTTTGGTGTGCGTGACCTGCCCTATGTACAAGTATTTGTATATACAGTCACCTTGTGTGTAGTGCACTATTTATTTCTCATCTGTGTAACCTTGGTCAATGAAAGGTATATACCAGGTCAGGAAAATGGAGATCCGGCCTCCTGACGCTTGGAGAAAATAATGGTGCAGTTACGCGCATGCGCAATACTCAACGTCATCGCTTCCGCTGCTCGCAAACTTGTCGACCTTTGTTCATACGCATACTTCCGAGTCTCATTGCTTGGTCCCCGGCTGGCTGTCTAGCTATCATGGAGATGCGGTGGTGTTGCTGTAGTTTGATCCTTTCTGTCTGTGTAGCTCTGCTCTGTGAAGTTCGGCCAGGTAAAGCAGTTGTGTGCGTAGCTGACTAGCTGTAATTTTAGTCACTAAGCAGCAGCATGGGCGCAAAGCCGTTAGTGAGCTCTGTGGAGTCCCGTTTACAGCGAACAGTCTTCAATCTCACATTGCAGGAGAGTGTCAGTTCTCCGTCACCACGGATCCAGTGCCTGGTGTCAATGGGTACTTCCCTGGGACACAGAATATCACCTTTAGTTGTCAAGTCAATGAAGGTGGTAGTCGAAGAGCCACTGTCTGGTCAATACAAACATCTTTAGACAGAGAAGAGGGTCGACCACCTCGGAGAATTACAAGTGGTAGTGACAGCAATCTCCTATTGTCATCTCAGGGGACTCTAGGAATATCTGGGATACCAGACACCAGTATCCTCACTATTGTATCACTGACTGAGGATTTGGATACTACCATCATATTCTGTGCATTTGAGGAGCCACTGGCTAACTTTACCGTCAGAATATACTGTGAGTTAGTAGCAGGCATGCTGACTGTAGCTATAATTGTGGTCATGATACCTGATTGGTGTGCTGTCCTGGTGTAAGTGAGTCACAATGTCATCAGTCATAAAAGGAATTTGAGACTTGGTAGACTCTGTGGCTAGCTCATGTGTCATCTGCCATACCAGAGAAGCAACATGCCTCCACAACCTGCTTGTATTGTAACACATTTCTCTGCCAATGTACACTGTGTATGTGCTTGAAGAGTGTTGTGTATCTGTGGCTAGCTCATGCCATAACCAGAGGAACGACATGTCTCCTATTACACCTTCACAACCTGCTTGCACCACCACACCTTTCTCTGCCAATGTACAGTACACTGTGTATGTGCATGAAGAGTGTTGTGTATCTGTCCCACTAGACCCCCCAGTCCTGACTGACAGAGGAGAAGTGAGGAAGAGAGAGAATGAGGAGCTGAGTATGGACATGGCAGAGCCAGGCAATCCCCTGGCCTTCCCCTTCCCCTCTCAAGTCTCGTGGACAAAAGATGGGGAGGATGTGGCGGGTGGCTCGTCCACCAGAGTCTTCAACTACTCCTCCATCTTCATTGGCTCAGTCCAGCCCTCTGACTCGGGGCTCTACGTCCTCTCAGCCACCAACTACCAGCTGAACGGTGGCCCTCTTCTTGGCAGTGCCACTGCCTCTCTCACTCTCAATGTCCTCTGTGAGTGGCTATTGTGTTAGGTGCTCCATACTTGTACACGATGCGTAGTGAGGTATGAAAACCTATTGTCAGTTTATGGCTGACAATGATCTAAATTTGGCACCAGCTGGCATTTAGATGTGGATGCATGTGCACACCTCATTGGCGAGCGGGAGCGAGCCAACCTAGTTGTTCGTTCGAGCGGAATTTTCTGTATATTATATATAATCGACCGACCGTCGTACGTCGTGTAAGTGCGCATGCGCGGCTTTGTACGCGCTTCTTTTTATCCGAAACTAATTTCAACATTTTTACACATTTTCTCACACAGTGCCGCGCCGATCGATCTAGCCAGCCAGAGAACTCTCCTCCATTTGACGGCATGCGCTGCAACCTTCGGTGACTGACCGAGGCTCTACCTCTTCCCAATCTTCATGGTTCCAAGGTGCAACTTGCAAATACGCTAGGATTGCTCGTGCACATACTGCTGCATGCCAGCTGTCTGGACTGACGAGGTGAAAGTGTATGACAAGTACCGTTCTGCTCACCTGCTCACTGTTCTGCCAACGTACTATGCGCATGTAACGGCGACAGGTAGATCTGTCTTGCTTCACGAAAGGAAAGCTGTGCGCTGACGGCACGTTATGCAGCCCGAACATCGCGGGCAAATCACAAGTTGGGTCGCTCCCGCTCGCCAACAATGTTCAACATTTCCACTAGTTAAGTGTGTGATGTTAGTTGTCTTGATTTGGCCTCGGTGTGTTACAGATCAGTCAGTGGATGGTGTGTGTGCCTCCCCCTCTGTTTTAGGAGAAAGTGTGCATTACATGTGTATACTCCCTCTCTCCTCTCTCACTTCTCTACCTCTCTGTGTGTTGCTGTGTGCAGTTGGGGCAGGAATTTCAGGTCCAGGGTCAGAGATAGTGGCAGTAGTGGAGGGAGAGTCAGCCACTCTGGTCTGTGGTACTGGTCTCTCTGGAAACCCTCTCCCCACCCTCACCTGGACTGACAACACTGGAAGGTTTGTAGTATACAAGTAAATAAAAAATCCTGTGAATTTAAAAAAGAGGCATATAGGGTATGGTATAAAAAGAAAGGGAGACAAGATATGGATGGGATACATGAAGCATGGTTAATGAACAGATTTGAGTACACTGACACCCCCAACCCCATCACATAATCCCTATATTGTTGCCTGGTGTGCTACTCTTATAGGGGCTAAAGGTTTTATACTGCCACATTCCCTTTAATTAAACTCCACTTGGACTCTATATATAAGGGTGTTGGTTACTCAGTAGTGTATTGTAAGGTCTGAGTATTGTAATGGTGAAAGTTTAATACTTCACCTAGGCAACAATATAGGGATTGTGTGATGGGGTTGGGGGTGTCAGCGTACTCAAATCTGTTCATTAACCATGCTTCATGTAATGCCTCTTTTTTAAATTCGCAGGATTTTTAATTTACTCATTTTTATATACTACTACGTATTATCTCTGTGGAAGGGGGCAAGCCCCTATAAAAATTAATAATAGAGAAAAAACGCCTGTTGTCGTCATGGAATGTTTCATAACCGCGGCAACTCTGAGCGTGAAACGTGGACATATTATACAAGTAGGAGGCATGCATGGTAAAATAAGATTCTGGAGCAGAGAAGGCCGGGGAAGCTGGTGAAACAGAGGGCTGCCGAGGTGAGTGTGCGTCAAATAGAGATAAAGACAGTTGAGTAAGAGCGAGATTGCCAGTGAAGTGAGAGCCAGGAAGCGAATCTGTTCAGTGAAGGAGTCACTGAGATAGTGTAGCCAGGTAGCTAGTAGCCATTGGCTGCTGAAATAAATAATAAAGTGGTGACTGAGGGTTATGTATATACTGTCAAGTGCTTTTCACTTTGCTGTAGTAGTAACTAGTATTGAAAATGCATGTCCAGAATAACGGAAGTGACACTAAGCGTGACTAATTGACATTCTTAAGCGTGACGACACGTACGTGCGAGAATACAACCCGGAGTAGTTGCCTCACGCTAACGCGCTCGGCAATAATGCTAGGTACCATGCCAATCCCTATATACTAAGTACTACCGTACTTAGTGATAGTGTGTATATAACTTCATCACTTTGAATACAGAGAGGTGGTAGAGGAAGGGAGGATCGCTCTTAACACTGTTAGAGAGGTAGTCAGTCTAACATTGAGCAGTACTGCACAGATTGACACTGGCTACTGGAACTGCTCAGCTCAGGTCTATGATGGTGCTAATGTTGTTGGCCAGCCTGTGGGGAGAGACATACGACTGGTGGTAGTTGGTAAGTCTGTCTCTGATAACAAGTGTAGAAATTCAACCACTCTCTCCCTCCCTTCCCTTTCCTTCTTCTCTCCCTTTCAAAGTCCCCCCAGTAGCACCAGTAGATCTATCAATCAAAGAGATTGGAGCCACATGGATATATCTGCAGTGGTTCAACCCCAGTGCTGGTTTGAGCAACCCTCCTCTCTCTAGTCATGTTGTCAGGGTACAAGAGGTGGGAGGAGAGGTGGAGGAAAGAACATTTGACAGCAGTGAAGGAGAGGCCAATGTGACTGACCTACTGCCAGGGACTCAGTACACATTCTCAGCAGTGGCTGTGTCTCAGTTTGAAGACCTGCGAGCTACCAGTCCACCCAGCAACTCTGACAGTGGAACAACCAATGTCACTGGTAGGGACCAACATAATATCCCAAGCTGATTCTCTCTCTCTCCCACAGTCCCAGCTCCAGTGTGCAGTGGTGTTCCTGAGGTGGAGGACACACGACTGGTAGTGAGATGGACCTACAGACACATGGGAGGAGCTCCCATCACCTCAGTCGATGTCTACTTCACCACCACAACTGACTCCACCAGAGTCTCATTCTCAGATGACTCTCAGGCAGTGCTAGGGGAGGTGGGAGCCAGAGAAAGAGAGGACTCCATTCCTCTGCCTGAAGCTGGCTTTACCTACCTGTTCTCAGTGACAGCTACCAACAGCCAGGGAACCAGTGCTGTGGACTGCCCTCCTCTTACTCCTGACATTGGTGTGTTTATGAACTGAACTGATTGTGTTTTCAACTACAGTGTGTGACGATTGTGGACCTACTCAATTATGTTGTTGTATCAATGTAGGCGTACCAGGTAGACCCGACCCTCCAAAGGTTTACACAACTACTCGAGGTGTTGCCTTTGTAACTGTTCATACACCTCACTCTGGACTTAGGGGCAACTCCACTGACAAGCTCCAGTTTATCCTACTGGTAAGCCAGTTGAACTCAAGATCAATATGATATACCGGTTGGTAGGTAGATCAGGGACGTGAGTGACATGGGAGGGACTCCCATTGAGGTGGTGGTGAGTCAAGGATCGTGTGGAGGAGGAGTGTGCAGAGGGTCTGTGAGTCTGGCCAGTGGAGAGAGAGGACTGGAGGAGGGAGCCACATACATTGTCAGTGTCTCAGCCTCCAACAGATACGGACAGTCCTCTGAGTCTGGAAACTCTGATCCCTTCACTTTGGTCTTTACTAATTCAGGTATATACATTACTGCCAAGTTTATCTAAACGTGAAATGTTCTTTTTATCTACCATAGATTGCTCTTCAAACTCCCTATTCACGGAAGGTTTGCTGTCTGTAATAATTATGTTTGTGAAATACTACAATAACAAGTACACTACTACAGGAATAGGAGTTGGATTTGCTGTGGGTGCCATGACTACAGCTATAGTGTTTGCAATAGTCTTCATTGCCATTTGTTTCGTTTTCAAGTTAAGGAAATGTAAGTAGTGCCCCATATTCTTCCTCAGTTGATCAATTCATATCTGTAGCTACTGGAGACAGGGAAATGCCAATGGAAGCAAACCTGGCATATGAGCTACACACCACACCTCATACTATCTCTTCCAGTGAGGGACAAACAGTTGTCTACGAGGAAGTTGGAAAAATTTGAACACTATTATATCCTGAGTTTCTGTTTTTAAGCTTATGTATTGTACACTGACCCTCATATGTCGGATACCTTGTCATGTATATTAGTAGTGCCAGTGCAGAACTTTGGTGTGCGTGACCTGCCTATGCACAAGTATTTGTATATACAGTCACCTTGTGTGTAGTGCACTCTTTATTTCTCATCTGTGTAACCTTGGTCAATGCGAAAGGTACCAGGTCAGGAAAATGGAGATCCGGCTGACGCTTGGAGAAAATAATGGTGCAGTTATGCGCATGCGCAATACTCAACGTCATCGCTTCCGCTGCTCGCAAACTTGTCGACCTTTGCTCATACGCATACTTCGGAGTCTCATTGCTTGGTTGCTGTTTCCCCGGCTGGCTCTCTAGCTATCATGGAGATGCGGTGGTGTTGCTGTAGCTTGATCCTTTCTGTCTGTGTAGCTCTGCTCTGCGAAGTTCGGCCAGGTAAAGCAGTTGTGTGCGTAGCTGACTAGCTGTAATTTTAGTCACTAAGCAGCAGCATGGGCGCAAAGCCGTTAGTGAGCTCTGTGGAGTCCCGTTTACAGCGAACATTCTTCAATCTCACATTGCAGGAGAGTGTCAGTTCACCGTCACCACGGATCCAGTACCTGGTGTCAATGGGTACTTCCCTGGGACACAGAATATCACCTTGGTTTGTCAAGTCAATGAAGGTGATAGTGGAAGAGCCACTAGCTGGTCAATACAAACATCTTTAGACAGAGAAGAGGGTCGAGACGTCGGACAATTACAAGCAGTGGTGGCAACAATTTCGATCCCAATTTCTTATTATCGTCACAAGAGAATGTTGGTCAATTTGGGATACCAGACACCAGTATCCTCACTATTGTATCACTGACTGAGGATTTGAATACTACCATCATATTCTGTGGATTTGAGGAACCACTGGCCAACTTTACCATCAGAATATACTGTGAGTTAGTAGCAGGCATGCTGACTGTAGCTACAATTGTGGTCATGATACCTGATTGGTGTGCTGTCCTAGTTGTAAGTGAGTCATCCATGTCATCAGTCATAAAAGGAATTTCAGACTTGGTGAGACTCTGTGGCTAGCTCATGTATCATATGCCATAACCAGAGGAACGATGTCTCCTATTACACCTTGCTTGCACCACCACACCTTTCTCTGCCAATGTACACTGTGGATGTGCATGAAGAGTGTTGTGTGTCTGTCCCACTAGACCCCCCAGTCCTGACTGGCAGAGGAGAAGTGAGGAAGAGAGAGAATGAGGAGCTGAGTATGGACATGGCAGAGCCAGGCAGTTCCCCTGGCCTTCCCCTTCCCCTCTCAAGTATCGTGGACAAAGGACGGGGAGGAGGTGGCGGGTGGCTCGTCCACCAGAGTCTTCAACTACTCCTCCATCTTCATTGGCTCAGTCCAGCCCTCTGACTCTGGGCTCTACGTCCTCTCAGCCACCAACTACCAGCTGAACGGTAGCCCTCTTCTTGGCAGTGCCACTGCCTCTCTCACTCTCAATGTCCTCTGTGAGTGACTATTGTGTTAGGTGCTCCATACTTGTACATGGTGTGTAGTGAGGTGTGAAGCCTATTGTCAGTTTATGGCTGACAATGATCTAAATTTGGCACCAGCTGCATTGAGATGTGGATGCATGTGCACACCTCATTGGCGAGCGGGAGCGAGCCAACCTAGTTGTTCGTCGAGCGGAATTTTCTGTATATTATATATAATCGACCGACCGTCGTACGTCGTGTAAGTGCGCATGCGCGGCTTTGTACGCGCTTCTTTTTATCCGAACTAATTTCAATATTTTTACACATTTTCTCACACGGTGCCGCGCCGATCGATCTAGCCAGCAGAGAACTCTCCTCCATTGACGGCATGCGCTGCAACCTTCGGTGACTGACCGAGGCTCTGTACCTCTTCCCAATCTTCATGGTTTCAGGTGCAACTTGCAAATACGCTAGGATTGCTCGTGCACATACTGCTGCATGCCGCTGCCTGGACTGACGAGGTGAAAGCGTATGACAAGTCGTCTGCTCACCTGCTCACTGTTCTGCCAATCGTACATATGCGCATGTAACGGCGACAGGTAGATCTGTCTTGCTTCACGAAAGGAAAGCTGTGCGCAATGACAGGCACGTTATGCTAACAGCCGAACATCGCGGTGCGACATCACATCAAGTTGGGTCGCTCACCGCTCGCCATACAATGATTCAACATTTCCACTAGTTAAGTGCTGTGATTGATTAGTGTGCTTTGATTTGGCCTCGGATCCGTATGTTACAGATCAGTCAGTGGATAAGGTGCTGTGTCCCCTCTCTCTGTTTATTGAGAGAAAGCTGTGCATTACATGTGTATACACTCTAGTCTCTCCTCACTCTCACTTCTCTACCATCTCTGTGTGTTGCTGTGTCAGTTGGGCAGGAATTCAGGTCCAGGTCAGAGAATAGTGCAGTAGTGGAGAGAGTCAGCCCACTCTGTCCAAATAGTGGTACTGGCTCTAACTGTGAAACGCCTCTCCCACACTCACCAAAATGTGACTGACAACGACTGATAGGTTTGTAGTATACAGTAAATAAAAAATCCTGTGAATTTAAAAAAGAGGCATATAGCGGTATGGTTATAAAAACGAAAGGGAGACAAGATATGGATGGATACACATGAAAGCATTGTTAATGACATCAGATTATGAGTACACTGATCTATCAACATAAAGTTACCAACCTACGGTTACATCTACATAATCCTATATTGTTGCTGCTGTGCTACTCTTCTATAGGGGCTAAAGGTTTATACTGCCACTTCCTTAATAGAACTCTCACTGGTACTCTATATATAAGGGTGTTGGTTACTCAGTAGTAATTGTTAAGGTCTGAGTATTGTAATGGTGAAAGTTTAATACTTCACCTAGCAACAATATAGGGGATTGTGTGATGGGGTTTGGGTGTTCAGCGTACTCAAATCTGTTCATAATAACCATGCCTCATGTAATGCCTCTTTTTTAAATTCGCAGATTTTTTTAATTTACTCATTTATAATACTACTAAACGTTTATTCTCTGTGGAAGGGGCAAAGCCCCATAATAAAAATTAATAATAGAAAAAGAAAACGCCTGTTGTCTGTCATGGAATGTTTTAATAACCTATGCTGGCAACTTCTGAGCGTGAAACGTGGACTATATTATATAAGTATAGAAGGCATGCATGGTAAATAATGATCTGGAGAGAGAAGCAGGGGAAGCTGTGAAACAGAGGGGCTGCCGAGGTGAGTGTGCGTCAAATTAGAGATAAAGACAGTTGAGTAGTAATAGGAGGAATTGCCAGTTAAGTGAGAGCCAGGAATGCGAACTGATTCAGTGAAGGATCTCACTGAGAATAGTGTAGCCAGGTAGCTAGTAGCCATTGGCTGCTGAATAAAAGAATAAAGTTGTACTGAGGGTTATGTATATACTTGTCAATGTGTGCTTTTTCACTTCGCTGTAAAGTAGCTAACTAGTATTGAAAAACGAATAGTCCAGTAATAACAGGAGTACACTAAGACGTAGACTATATTGACATTCTTAAGCGTGACGACACGTACGTGCGAGAATACAACCTGAGAGATAGTTTGCCTCACGCTAACAGCGCTCGGCAATTAAGCTAGAGTACCATGCCAAATCCCTATATAACTAAGTACTACCGTACTTAGTGATAGTGGTGTATATAACTCATCACTTTGAAATACAGAGAGGTGGTAGAGGAAGGGAGTGATCGCTCTTAACACTGGATAGAGATGGTGGTCAGTCCTAACAATTGAGCAGTATACTGCACAGATTGACACTGGGCTACTGGAACTGCTCAGCTCAGGTCTAATGATGGTGCTAATGGTTGTATGGCCAGCCTGTGGGGTAGGGACATACAAACTAGTGGTAATTTGTAGATCTGTCTCTGATAACAAGTTGTAGAAATCAACCACTCTCTCCCTCCCTTCCCTTTCCTTCTCTCTCTCCTTTCAAAGTCCCCCAGTATAGACACCAGTATAATCTATCATCAAGAGATTGGACCTATCCACATGGATATATCTAAATGCAGGGTTCAAAACCCCAGTGCTGGTTTGGGGCAACCCTCCTCTCTCTAGTCATGTTGTCAGGGTACAAGAGGTGGGAGGAGAGGTGGAGGAAAGACATTTGACAGCAGTGAAAGGAGAGGCCAATATGTAGACTGACTCCTACTGCCATGCTATCTCAGGGACCATACACATCTCAGCAGTGGCTGTGTCTCTGTTGAAGACCTTGCAAGTCTACAGTCCACCAGCACTTCTGACAGTGGAACAACCAAATGTCACTGTGTAGGGACCAACATAATATTCCAAGCTGAATTCTCCTCTCTCTCCCACAGTCCAGCTCCAGTGTGCAGTGGTGTTCCGAGGGGAGGACACACGACTGGCTGTAGAGATGACCTACAGACAACATGGGATGGAGCTACCATCACCTCAGTCGAATGTCTACTTCACCACCACAACTGAACTCCACCAGTAATCTCATTCTCAATGACTCTCAGGCAGTGACTGAGGAGGTGGAGCCAGAGAAAGAGAGGACTCCAATTCCTCTACCTGAGGCTGGCTTCACCTACCTGTTCTCAGTGACAGCTACAACAGTACCAGGGAACCAAGTGCCTGTGGACTGCCCTCTTCTCTTACTCTTGACATATGGTGTGTTTATGAACTGAACTGAGGTGTTTTTCAACTACAGTGTGTGTACGATTTGTGGACCTACTGAATATGTTTGTTAATCAAAATGTAGGCGTAACCAGGTAGACACCGACCCTCCAAAGGTTATAACAACTACCGAGGGTTTGCCTTTGTAAACTGTTCATAACACCTCACTCTGGACTTAGGGGCAACTCCACTGACAAGCTCCAGTTTATCCTACTGGTAAGAGCCGTGTTGAACTCAGATCAATATGTATAGCCGGTTGGTAGGTAGATCAGGGACGTGAGTGACATGGGAGGGACTACCATTGAGGTGAGTGGTGAGTCAAGGATCGTAGTGGAGGAGGAGTGTGCAGAGGGTCTGTGAGTCTGGCCAGTGGAGAGAGAGGACTGGAGGAGGGAACCACCTACATTGTCAGTGGTCTCAGCCTCAAACAGATACGGACAGTCCTCTGAGTCTGGAAACTCTGAAATCCCTTCTCTTTGGTCTAACTAATTCAGAGTATATACATTACTGCCAAGTTTATCTAAACAGTGAAAATTGTTCTTTTATCTACCATAGAATTTAACTCTTCAAACTCCCTATTCACGGAAGGTTTTGCTGTCTGTAATAATTATGTTTGTGAAATACTAAAATTTAACAATTACACTACTACAGGAAATAGGAGTTTGAGATTTGACTGTGGGTGCCATGGCTACAGCTAACGAGCGTTTTATGCAATAGTCTCATTGCCATTTGTTTCGTTTTCAAGTTAAGAAAATGTAGTAGTGCCCCATATTCTTCCTCAGTTGATCAATTCATATCTGTATATAGCTACAAAGAGACAGGGAAGTACCAATGGAAGCAACCCTGGCATATGAGCTACACCACAGCACCTCATACTAATCTCTTCCAGTGAGGGACAAACAGATTGTTCTACGAGGAAGTTGGAAAAATTTTAAAACACTATTATATTCCTGAGTTTCTGTGTTTTAAAGCTTTTGTATTGTACACTGACCCTCATATGTTGGATACCTTGTCATGTAATAAAAAGTGTTATATTAGTAGTGCCAGTGGCAGAACTTTGGTGTGCGTGACCTGCCTATGCACAAGTATTGTATATACAGTACACCTTGTGTGTAAGTGCAACTCTTTATTTCTCATCTGTGTAACCTTGGTCAATGCGAAAGGTTACCAGGTCAGGAAAATGGAGATCCGGCCTGACGCTGAGAAAATAATGGTGCAGTTATGCGCATGCGTAATACTCAACGTCATCGCTTCCGCTGCTCGCAAACTTGTCGACCTTTGCTCATACTGCATACTTCGGAGTCTCATTGCTTGGTTGCTGTTTCCCGGTTTGGCTCTCTAGCTATCATGGAGATGCGGGGTGTTGCTGTAGCTTGATCCTTCGCATCTGTCTGTGTAGTCTCTGTCTCTGCGAGTTCGACCAGGTAAAGCAGTTGTGGTGCGTAGCTGACTAGCTATAATTTTAGTCACTAAGCAGCAGCACGGCGCAAAAGTCGTTAGTGAGCTCTGTGGAGAGTCCCGTTTACAGCGAACAGTCTTGCATCTCACATGCAGGAGAGTGTGCAGTTTCTCCGTCACCACGGATCCAGTGCCTGTGTCAATGGTACTAATCCCTGGGACACAGAATATGCACCTGTGTTTGTGGAATCAATCTAGAAGTGGTAGCCGAAGAGCCACTAGCTGTCAATAAACAGACATCTGTTAGTACAGAGAGAGGGTACGAGTGACGTCATACTCCATTACATTTGGTGTGACAGTAATTTCTTATTATCATCACAAGAGACTATTGGTACAAATTAATTGAGATAACCAGAATACCAGTATCCTCACTTTGAATCACTGACTGAGGATTTGATTACTACCATCATATTCTGTGGATTTGAGGAACCACTGGCCAACTTTACCATCAGGATATAACTGTGAGTTAGTAGCAGGCAATGCTGACTGTAGCTATAATTGTGGTCATGATATGGTGTGCTGTCCTAGTTGTAAGTGAGTCACCATGTCATCAGTCATAAAAGGAATTTCAGACTTGGTAGACTCTGTGGCTAGCTCATGTATCATCTGCCATAACCAGAGGAACGACGTGTCTTGCCTAGTACACCTTCACACACCTGTCTTGCACCACCTTAAACACAAAGAGTTCTCTGCTATAATATACTGCAGAGATTGTACATGCCCATGATACATATTCTCAGTTGTGGCTGTGTCTGAAGTGGAATGGTTTGAAAACAAGCAGTGCTCCCAGCAGTTTAGCTAATGGAACAACCTTTCATTACTGGTAAACAAATTCCACGCATTAAATTGTCACATTGTGCAGTCCCAGCTCCAGTGTGTACCGAGGTTCCTGAAGTTAAAGACTCTAGCTTGAAGAACTCTGAATTTAATGAAGGTAATCTATTATTTCTCTCTTTACTCATCCAACATAATTTCATAACAAGTAACAGGAGTGGGAGTTGGATTTGCGGTTGGTGTCATAACTACAACCATACTGTTCACAACAATCATCGTCATTTTACTCATTCTCAAGTTGAAGAAATGTAGGTGACACTTTATGTTTCTGAGTTTTATCCATTTCATCGTGATAGCAGCAAAAAGGAAAGAGGTAACAGTGGAGGCTAATCTTGCGTATGAGCTTCATAGAGCCGATCATCAACAAAGTGATCCAGTTTATGAATTAGTTGGAAAATCATGAATTGCCATGTGTGTTGCCAGTGTGTGTGTCCTTTAGCTATATACTGCAGAGATCTGTTACATGCCCCATGATGCAAAAACCTTCAGACTGTGCAATGCGAAAGAGAAAACGGTGTCATAACTTTGCACAACAAAGAACCTGCTTTTAGTCAGAGCCAAATAATGCCGAGCGTCTACTTCTGCACCGCGCAGAGCAGTCGGGTCGCGTCGGCTTGTTGCTTGCATGCTCGTCAAAGATAATTGTGCGCATGCGCAGTTTTATAATCATCGATCGATGATCGATCCGCGCTGGCTGCTCTAAAAAGAGTCCTCGTCTACTCGATCCCTGGTTCTGTGTGTTAGTATGGAGATGCGGTGGTGTCACTGTAGTTTGATCCTATCTGTCTGTGTAGCTTTGCTCTGTGGAGTTGGACCAGGTAAGGCAGTCGTGTGCGCAGCTGGACTAGCTTTAGTCAAGAGAGCATGGGCGTTGTGTTCGTGAGCCCTGTCGAGTTTACAATTGAGCTGTCGTTCAATCTCTTGCAGGAGAGTGTCAATTCTCCGTCACCACGAATCCAGTGCCTGGTGTCAATGGGTACTTCCCTGGGACACAGAATATCACCTTGGTTTGTCAAGTCAATGAAGGTGATAGTGGAAGAGCCACTAGCTGGTCAAACAGACATCTTTAGACAGAGAAGAGGGTCGAGGACGTTGGAACAATTACAAGTGGTAGTGACAGCAATATTCCTATTATCATCCATCAAGGACTGATAGAGAGTTGGTTTACCACGACGACACAGTATCCTCACTATTGTATCATCCTGACTTGAGGATTTTATAAAAAGGATATCTGCCATCATATCTGTGAGATATTGAGGACACTGGCACATCTTACCATCAGAATATACTGTGATATCGTA